ACACACACACACACACACACACACACACACACATTTACAGCCATTCCAAAGATATATGCAAACGCACGCACTTTTAAGTGTATTCGCATCTGCACACAATAAATGCACTTACCGTTCGTAGAAGCGTGGAGACAGACATGCAAAAGACTAATGCATGCATGCATATCCATGGACGCCATTACGCTTACTCTCACCGAGCACGTACATCACGCCCCCCCCCCCCAACAAAAAACAACAACAACCAAACAGCAAAAACAACAACAACAATCAAGAAAGCCCCTCCCCACAAACCCCCAAAACAAAAAAAACCCCAAACAAATAAGCAAACAAAGAAGCCAACAAACAAACAAATAAAAAACAAACAAAAAACAAGCGATTAGCGTCGTAATTCAACGAAAATTAAATCTTATAGATCTGTAACTGTGCTCACACAAAAGGCACACTAACATCACTTAAAAACAAAAAACGAAACAAAAAAAACGAAGAAAAAACCCCTACTTAAACAATAGCAGCAGCAGAAACAGCAACAAATAGAGATTTTAAAGAAAAAAAAGCCTTACACACAATTTGTCAATTCATATATAAGCTACTTACCATACATAACGGACATCTCTTCTTACCTTACAAACCTTGAGGGAAGGCAACTTTAAAAAGTATAAGCACACCGAAAAAGCTGGCTGCACATTCAAAGAAAAAAAATTGCGCACAAGAAACCCAATCAAAGCACATATAAATGGTAGAATTAAGATCTAATACCTGAAGATTTGTTGGTAGAATTACCCGTCGAAGCCGTGTAGCCAAAATGCCGTCAGAACGCTGGTGGCACACCGCTAGCTGAAGTGAATGGCATATTGAACGCAGATGCGAGTCTAGCTAGTAGTGCCTGTCCCAGGTAAGTCGTTATAAATACAGGTAATGTAGGTAAAGGTAGGGAGCTTGCCGCCTCGTCCCTTAGTGTGTTTTGTGCGACGAATGGCGGGAAAAGGGTTGTAAGCCCAAAGGCGTAGATAAGCAAGAAGAGTGTTTAGACAATGTTTTATCGTATACCCCCCTCCCCCCTTTTTTTCTTTCCCCAACCACCAACAATCTGTAATGTTATGTAAATTGAGTTTCTTTCAAGGTCAAGGCTGTCAATATCATGATTTTTGGAAAGAACCAAAAAAATGAAAAAAACATGGAGGCAGAGAGAAAGTTGATATGGATGGAGACGAATGATTTGTTGAGTGAGTCAGAAGTAGACAGGTACGAGATATTGTAGATGTAACTGGTGAAGTCGGCTACAGTGGTGGGGATGGTTGGGGTGGGAA